AATCCATCAGGACATTGCAAGGAAAGGAAGGATACTTTCCTACCAAAGAAATATTCTGATTAATGCTAGAGAGTTTGGGATAAGGATACAAGATGAGTGTGGCAATCAGAAAACACTGCAATAAATATGGGGTAGAGAACACTGCTGAGACTGAGAAAGCATTATACATTTTAATAGAGCATTTCAGGGCAGATTACTAATTGCAATGAGACAGACCAAAATCTAAAAATGTCTAAATTTTTCATCCACCTTGTCTGAAGGTGCCCAATTTTCTCATAAACTCAGAGTAATCATGGACTTAAACATAAACATCATTTTGAAAATGTATATGTTCTAGTAAATTATTTAAATACATGTAAAGGTAGTCACCTCTAGCCATTCTCACATGAAAACTTTGCTCTGATTTAATTTTGACTCAAAAATTCACTCTGCCAGGACATTGCATTGTCATGGGGAGGGTTTGGCTTGGGTCCTGCTCTTGCCTTCTCTTTCCCTGTTACACAATTGCTGCATTTCCAGCAGACCATGTAAGTGCTGGTGCTAGAGAGGTACCTACACTGCCTTTGAGAAACTCTCCTGCTGCAAGACTCCAGTGAAGCTTGAACACATCACAGGCTTAGCTTTCTGTGGTTTGAAAATAAATAATAAAAAAAAAAATTAAAGAGACATTATGGCAATGTTAAAGAGACATTTTTGTTCCAGGGGAACAGTCAAATTTCCTCTCTAGCTTCATTAAGAGTAGCAGGGCCTTCTGCCCACATAAATCTGTGTTGTCAGCAGCGGATCTCGTTCAAAACACAAATGTGGAGCACAGCAGCTACTCAAATTATATGACTTCCAAATTGTCTAGAAGAGCTTATCAATTAAGTCTGGCAAATATCAGATAGACAATAACCACTGGCAAAAATGCAGTTACATTAAGACGAAGTACAACATAAAGAGAATGAGCAGAATGTATGAGGTGGTATAATTGAGCTGCAGGAATATATAAATATATAATAAAGGTGATAGAAATGGAATTTAATAAGTTAAAAGGGCATGAGTTAGCATGCGTAGGAGTAACTCATTGCCCTTTCCAATAGTCAGGAGTGATTTTCTGTTTTAATTGGATCATGTTTCTTCATTGCCCAATCAGATGCTTCTTTTTTGCCCTCCTGAAGCACAAAATGTTTAAAACAAGTTTTAAAAGATGTAATAACATAAAGCCAGGAGAGAAGAGTAATCAACAGAAAACCCTTAGCACAAAAGGGCTGACTTGATTCTGTCCCTAGAAAGCTTTACAATGCTTTAAGCTCCTGACAAAGGAGACACTGGGTAAGTTTCCAAGACACTAAAGTGATTAAGTTTTGGTAGACATGCTGATTTTGCACTTGTCTACTTATGTCCATCGTGGGAATTGTTTTCCTTCTCTCTCCTTTCTCAAACCATTATATTGATCTTAATGCCACACATTCAGACAGGTGCTCTCAGACACGTGTGAAGTTTTCCTCACGAGGAGACTGCTTTGGTACTCCAGCAGTGAAGTTCTTTCACTCAAAATAAAGTGTGCAGGGCAAGAACTGTGTTAATATGACAGCTACAGAACAGTTGAACTGTGAAATCTGGCCTGAGTATCGATGCTATCAAGTGCTTAGATCTCATTTTCAAAAGTGGCTTTACAACAATGAAACCTAGATCATCCAGGAGCTTTGCAAAATAATCACCATTCATCTACACATTAATGCCAGGCTAGAAGGACTGAGTGTGCACCATTTTTCCAGAAGTATTAGGACTTAAAAAAAAAAGTGGTGGGGGAAAAATGTTTGCTTAATTAGCTGAGAAACTCTATTTTGTTCACAAAGCAACTTCCAGCACTGGGAGGACAGCTGTGGGAAGTATAAAATCTACTGTTCTGCCAGACACCTCACACAGTCACCATAAGAATTGTACCTCTGTCCTGGTTTAGGGCAAATTTGGGAGAGAACCTCCAAATGGGTTGACTCCAAAAGTCACCCCAGGACAACCTCTCACTCAAAAAAAAAAAAAGATTTTCTAGAAAAGAACAAAAACTAGTTTAAAAAAAATCTAACTTACAAAAAAACCCTCAAACCAAACCAAATTTATCCCTACAGAATTTATTGGAAATGTGTAAATACTTAACACTATTTTTTAAATTTGTCCTGGGAACCCAAAAACTTTGAATTCAATGCCTTTCAAGGCTTCTCCCATGATGGCACAGTTACTTTTTGTGACATGGATAAAAAAAATGTCTCTTATCTTTTGAACAAAATGTCTATTTTCTTCCTTATGACAAGGGGTCTTGTGAATGTCCATATAACCACAAAGCATAAAAGTGTCATCTGTTCTCTTAAAGATTATAAAATATTGATGTGCCCACAACCATCATCCAGATGTGGTCTTCAGGCTTTGTTGAATTCATGATCTCAAAGCCTTTTGATTTTAGGAGGCACTAACGTAATTTGGGCCCTTGGACAGTTTGATCCTAACAAAGATTGTCAAAGGTACCTTTTTGCTTGTCTGCCCGTGGGTGAACCAGCTCTGCTTGCACATGAGCCACTCATTGCACTGGACAGTCCCCCATTTCTTGGTTGAGACATTTACTATCAAGAGACCAAGTCCCAGGAACTAAGCATGCATGGGACTTGGAAAAAAAGGGTGTTTGAGCTCTTAACATCCTCTCTCCAACTATCTGAAGCTGCTGGATTATCGTGCTGACCTAAATGTCTAGCACTGGTAGCCAATAGGAGACATAAATAATTAGAAGCCACTTCTGGAAGTGTTAAATCTTGAACTTTTGTTTCCAGCTCTCAATCTGCAAAATGCAGACACCAGTGATTTACTTCAGAGGGCAATTAATATGTCTTTCCCCCAGCTCAAATCAAACTTATGTGGAAGCTCTCTATATGCTGACACAGGTCTTTAAATGCATGAACCTGAGTACAAAACATGTCCCTCTTAAATTGGATTATTTCCTATGGATTGAGCCAGAGAGAAAAAAACCCACATCAACTCCCTGTGACTCAGAAAAAATTATTCCATGCTGCAAGCCAATCTCTCCACCTCAGACAAACTATTTCCCAAGACCAATCCTAATGAGTTTAAGATTGGCATGAAAAAAATTCACCATGTGCTTCACAAATTTGTTTTGCAGGAATCATTGTGCTTTACACACTTTTTTTTCCCAAATAGTGGTGGTTAGATGTGGACCTCAAGCCAAGCAGCAGATGTTGGAATTTCCATGCAGAAGGTGGCTGCCAGTGACCCAGAGGATCCCCTCTTACTAAAGAGATGCTGCTTCCATAGAGCCTGTTAAATGAGGAGGAATTGCAGCATTTGTTACATTCATGTAATTTTAGGACAAATCTCTGCAGGTTTTTTTCCTTCCAGGGGAAAAGCCTTCTGCATTTTGGAAGGGCAAGGAAGCAAAAATAATTTCTTTATAGATGGCAAAGCACTGAGAGCTCAATGTTGGTAACTCACCCACTGGTGTTTATGATGCCTCAGGGACAGAACTTGAATGGGACCTGAGACTTGACTTCTAAACCTCTGCACTAAACTTATGTAAGAATGTAATCCTGTAACGTGCTATTTATGGTTGGCTTAGGCAATCTTGTCTAAAAGGCCTCGTGAGAAAAGTTAAGCTCTAATACATATGGATGTGGTAACATCTATTCTAGGCTAATCAACAGGCATTTGTACAATTAAAAAGTGCCCAGTCAGGATTGAGGCTGCATTAACTACAGATCTCAGTAGGCTTTTTAAAGCCACACTGGCCCCCAAGAAGCCTGGTTTAACAAATATAACCCTAGCCAGAACCAGAAAGACTGACAGAGGGTATCTGTCAGGTGAAGCTGATGTTTGCTTGCATCCCACTGCACTATGATTTTGTTTAGTCCAAGTTTTTGTTAGTCTGCACCAGGCTCCCTGGCTCAGTTCTGGTACAAATGAAGTACTCCTTGATGAGAAAACTCACAAATGGGCTGTTAGATAGTCTATGTTGGGACTGAGATCATGTTTGTGTATGGATGTGAGCTGTGTTCAAGCACACAGCTAAGCTCAGCCTGTGTCAGAACAGCTGATGTCACAGAGTTTATGGCAGCTCAAGGCTTTTGCATCACTAAGGTTAGAAGTACTTTAAGATACCAGTCTAGCCTGATCCTCAAATAAAAATAAACAAAGTGTTCCCTACAGCTATTCTGGAGAAGATTAACTCCTTTTCTGCTCACTACTTCCCTCCTTGCTATAATTGTGTGAACCAGTGACAGTTTTCAAGCACCTCTCTCTCCAGAAGGTAAAGAGGTTCCATCCATAACAAACTCTCAAGCCAAAGGATATAATTTTCCCACTTTGTCACCTCCATATTCCACCTCCACAATGGAACTACCAGACTTAGTTACTCATAGCTTCATCATAAACAAGAAAATGCATGAAAGACTATCAAAGGCTGCTTGAAGACTTTCTTAGAAGCATTACTAATAATTTAGGTAAACCAGACTAACAGAGAATGTGAGTGTGTCATTGCCCTGTATTCTGTTGCTTCTAAATTGTTCCCAGTTCTCTTGATCTGAACATCACATCCAAACAAAATGCAATTTTAATGAAAAAGTTCCTCTCCCTCCAAGGTCAACGCACATGACAATACAGGATGCCCATCAAAGTCAAGAATTTACAATACCAAAACTTCACTAGGATTTCACAATCATTTAAAGGACTTTATGCTTGCAATCACAAAAAATCCTGGATCTTCCCCTTTCATTATTTAAAAAGGTTTCCCAATCAGACTGACATACCATGAGACTTCCATTCCTTTTCAGCTCTGCTTTGGTCATCCACTGATTAATATCACGTTTATCACAAACACATACATTTGAAATGAGTCTTCCCACACACACCAAAAAAATAAGCTGTATCATGCTCTGTCTTCACAATTGTTGCAAAAATTACCCCCTGCCCCATGCCACACCACAGACAGCTGAAAGGAAAGCAGTGGCATTACTTACTAGGAACTCCAGACACCAGCCGTAGTGGACGTAATACTCGGAAAGCCCGCAGTGCTTTAACATCAAATCCGGCACCTTTTCCTCCTATCGAATTCCCCCCATCTGCTTTGGTTGCTTGTTCTAAAATTGCACTAAAAAGCCTGCAAAAAGAAAGAGGAAACAATCTGTGGGCAGACAGCAAGGCTTGGGCTAAACAGGAACAGGGATCATCACCGTCATATCACCCAAGCTATCTCCCAGACCTGTGAAGGGTGTCACACCTCTCTCTCTCTCTCTCTCTCTCAATTCACATGTGCTGGAGGAGACACAGACTCTCCCCATACGCAACAGCCCATGGGTGATGTCTACACCGTTTACAAAGCGCTTATTTCTCACAAACGTGAGAAAAAGCTCCTCCTTCACGCTCCCCCATGGCTCCCTGCAGCCAGCCACCTTCTTTGCTTTGCTGTCTTTATTAACCTTTATTTTTATAACTTATAACTTATAACTTTATGCTGTCTTTATTAACCAACCATCCACCTTGGGGGAGAAAATCATCACCCTTAATTAAGCCGATCATTAATTATCTGTCACCCGTTTTACAAGGGGTTCACCAATGGCGCTGCAGGTAGAATCTGGTGTAAACTGGAGGACCTTTCAAGGGGCAAGCTTTTAGATAAAGGAGTGCATGCTCACACTGTGATTGTGGATTGGTTTGTAAATCCCCTGATGCACTGGCTAACAAGAGGGCAAAACTGTAGGAGTCTTATTATTAGAATGTTTAATTATACCAGCCTTAATGTTTTATCTTGTCTAGTAGGAGTAGACACTTTAAGGAGATGTCTCACTCAGAATGCATTTAAAAAGGCAGAACAAGAAAGAAAAGGCAATGTTCTTCTGTGAAAAACCTGAAGGCTCACCCTATCTGTTAATAAGAACTTGATTTAATAAATTAGCTTTCAGGAAGCAGCTTCCATTTTTCTGGTAAAACATTAGTACACTTGGGGGAGGACAGGTTCCTCATGAATTTGCTAATGATATTGCTTTCAGCCTTGAAATCCTCAGCTTGAACCCAGCCAGATTCAGTAGAGGTTAAAAGCTGTTCCAGCCTAAATGGATGTTTGGCTGTCTCTAAATAAAGCTTTCCTGGGAGTGGCAGAGCCCCTTTGGCCCGTAGGGTGCCACAGAGGTACCAAAGACAGCCTGAAAGAAACTTCCTGGTGTGAGAGAAGCGGTCCAGGTGGAGAGGCCTGGATACAGCAATGGTTTCTCTCGCAGGTTCTGCAGTCTGTGGTGCCCCTGTTGGGATCTCACTCAGATCCCATCTGGAATATTCCACAGAGAGCCCCCAGACCTTGGGTCAACAGAGGCTGAGCTGGCTGATGGTTTAGCAAGGAGCTCCAACGCCTGCAGCCTGCAGCCAAATCTTACTGACAGGGGCACAAACACTGCGAGCTTGCCCTGGATATTAAAATGAAGATTCATTTACTGAAACATCAAAATCAGCCAATTCCCCCAGCCCTAAATCCACAAACAAACGTGGATTAGGGGACCACAAACATGAAATTCCTTTCTTAAGCAGGTTTTTGTGTTTCATTTTTTAAAAAAATTCATATTGAGAGTCTTATAAAACTTGTGAGCTGTGACTGAGGAACTCCTAACTGGATCTATTCAAAGCCTGAACTTCAAGCACCGCAGAAAGATTTAACAACTAGGTAACGAGCATGGGAAAAAACTGTGTGTGAGGAGGTTGGATGCTGAGTTTGTAGGTGTTGCAGAAGCAGGATGCAGAGAAGACAAAAAAAGAGCCTATGAGAAATACTGCATTGACTACAGATATCACAGAGAGAGACAAAGGAGGGTTGATGGAGAGAAGGTGAATTATTGGAATGCATGTTTTTCTTGAGCTGTGTACACAAATGATACAGTTGCAATTATCTGCTGGTCTTCATAATAGAAACGCTGTAGGTCAAATTTGGCCTAATGTATTTTCAGTAAGCTTCTGATTAAGCTCTAGCAATGTGCTCTGTTTCACATTAGAACATTTCTGTCTTTCTTGTCCACAGAATTCCCATAACAGGTGATGGGTGACGTACCTATACAGCAGTCCCTGTCCCTTGGGATCCTCTTAAAGGAAAACCAATTTACTGCTAAAAGGTTTCTAATACTGTCTTTCTGCTCCAAGACCAGGAATCTCAAGGAGCTCTGATCAGAAATTGTGCAAAACTGAGGCTCCATTGCCCTGCTCCCCATTTTCACTGGCCCCATGTTTTCCCACAGAGCAGCACTGGGCACCAAGGCTGTTTCTGCTGCCTCTTGTACAGCGAGCAGACCAGACTGCTCTAGAATTCTGCTGCCCAAACAATGTCCTAAATTAGTTCAGAAGGAACAGAAACACAACCAGGAGGGCAGCTCACTCCTCTGGAGATAGAGCCTGCCTTCCCAGACAAGTGCAGCTCCACTGCAGGCTAGGTTGTCTTATTTTTGTGCTCCAGCACTGGTGTGCTAAATGTGCTTTTTGAGGTACCCACAGTCATCTGCTTCTGCACTTCAGGAATAATTTGCAATAATTCCTGCTGCTCCTAATTTAAAAACCTACATTTAAACTTGAATTGCATTACTCCTGCTAATCCTGCTTTAATGAATTTACTCCATGCTTAGTATCTCCCCTGTAGTAATCCTGCTTTTTATTAATGCATTACAACTTCTTATTTCTCTCATTTATTTCACTCTCTTCCCCTTTTGTATTGGGGTCTAGACTGTGCCCAGTGTGGCCTGCTGGATCTCTACTCCACTTTTCAAATTTATAGTACATCTTCTCAATTCTTCTTCTTTGTACTCACCACCTCCCTCATGGGCAGACATCCATGATGTACAGACACTCAATTAATACTCTTAGTTTTTGCAGCTAATTGTTTTCAGAGACTAAAACAGCAGGATGGATGCTAAACTACTGTTACAAAAGATGAGGCCAGAGCCCTTCTCTCTTATATTTATAGGGGAAATTCTGCTCTTTGATGAAAACCTTTTGGGAAAGTTTTCAGTAGGAGCAAGGTGCAGTTCTTTATCACTAGTGAGTGAGCATGCTCCTAGCACCGGGTGAGAGAACTCTGTGCTGACAGAGAAATCAGAGTTTGGGTGGTACAAAAAAGGCAAAAGGGCTAATCTCTTGTGGCCACTGAAAATCTCACCATTAAACACTCCCTCCTCCAAAAACCAGGCATCAACCTTATTTCCTTCCACCTACTTTCTGCCAGCCTAAATTCATACCCTATTTTCATCTGAATGTCATACTTCCCCACTGAAGAAGCACAGCTAACATCACTTTGATTTCTGAATTTCACTTGTGACATGACTACACCTTAACTAAATTCATCTGACAGACATGAACTATAAGAGCAGAAAACCAAATTTTATCACAGGTATGTATGGACATGCTCCATGCTTTGTTTGGGGTTTTGTACATTTACCTGTGAAGTAAGAACCCAGCTTCATTGGTTTTTTTTTTTTCCTTGTATTTTTCTATTTCCCTTTTGACATTTGATATATCAAAAGGGTTTTCACTTTGCTAGATGACCCCAACAGCAGCATGATAAGGCTGTAACCTGCTTTTCATCTCTTCCTCTGTGGGGAGTACACCATGATTTTTATAGCATAAAAGAAGAACTTGTCAAGGGCCTCCAAAATATAGGAAGAAAACAGAGGGCTTGGTATTTCTAAGGCAAAAAATCAGCAGAAAAACATGGCTGAAAAAATCCTCTTAGGTATAAAAAAAAGAGTAAAACACAAAGGTTTTTTTCACAGTGATTTACAGTTCACCTGTGATTTGTGAGTGTGAAAATGTTTGGATCTGCTCTCTAGAATCTCCCCACAGGTCTTCAGAAAGACATAAACTGTGACCACATTTTCCAGCCTGCTCTGACTTCAGATCTCATCCAAATATCTTCACTGCTTACCTTCCCAAGTAAGACTGTAATACTGCCTTTCAAATTACAACACTTTTTTTTCTGGCATTAGTTACAGGTCCTTGGAGAATGGCTGTGCTTGGCAAGCCACAGCCCTGCCAGGAAAGACAGATATTCTTCCATCACAACATTGTCAAGCTGGTCTCCCCTCAGGAGAAATTTCCTAGTATTAAGGGACTTTGCTGTGATAACTGAAAGTTTCAGTGTTTTCCTAAAGAGGAACAGCAAAAATGAGGGAAGTGGGAGACAAATTGCCTAACCATTAGTGTTTGTGGGTGGGGTCTCATGGAGCAGCTTAGGGCTCTGGTCTCTACTATTAATTAATAATGTTTTTGATATTAATGTTTTGATATCAGTTTTCTGACTGATACCCTCACACAGACGTTCTTCAAAGCAGCTGTAGCAAGGTCAGAGGCTGTTTAAGGAGAAACCAAATTCAAGCCCTAAAAGACATAGCTGATGAATAAGCAGGTCTCCCACACTGCAAGAATGATAAGCTGCTACAACTCTGGTCTAAAATGCATTTTTCACCAGAAAAACTGAGTTGTGTTCAGTGCTTCCCTCTGCTGCTGTTGCCAATTCCTTGTTAGAATCACTGCCTCTAAAATCCCTGTGGATACCAGGGGACCTGTCTTCAGAGGGCAGGGGAAAGTATGCAGTAAAAAACCATTTTTTTACAGGAAATGTGACTCCCCTCTAAAATTTATACCTACACATGTCGATTTTCCTCTTACTCTACTGACTGCTTCATTTTAAGGTAAAGGAAGCCAGATGTGCTATTCTCTATTGAAGTTATATGTGGTGAAGTGAGTACAGGTGGATTTGAAAGATCTAAAACCTGCTCTTTTTTTTTGGAAGAAGTGCTTCCCACCTAGCCTGTGTCTTGTAGCAAGGGCAGTCATCACTGAAAATGAAGATGGTTGGTAAGGCAGAGCAAGCACAAATAACAATTACCACAGTTTTTTTGCCCCACACACCAAAAAAATCTTTCTGCCCTCTTCCCCAGCCATGTTCAAATCACTCATCTTTCTCCAATAACCCTATTGATAGGCAGAAAAAGGGGCCACAAGGACATGTTTTTATCAGCACTTGCTTTCTTCCTCCTTCCTCTCTCTCTTCAAAATTTATTTTAAACCTTTTCCATGGGGTTTCCTTCCTGGAAAAATATTCAAATACGCCAAAGTTTAAACAGAATGTCACTGAGGGATTTCAGACAGCCCCTAGGAAAAGAAGACAGGGCAGGGGAGGAACGGATGCCACCAAGAAGATTTTGCAGAGGGGCTGTGGTGAGGAAAAGCAGCGCACCAGCCTAGGCTGTGGTTCTGTGCAAGTGAGTTTAAACAGATAAACATCAAAGGAACCCATCTGGCCTTGAAGTGGAATCTGTCACTTGAGATTGTTACTATTTAACAGAGACCTTGGGGTCTTGGCCATGTTTATTATACTCATGTAATCCTTCCCCAGTTCCATTTTTTTGTTCCCCATCTGGTGACTAAGAGCTGCTGGAGGCAAAAGCAGAGAGAAGAGCTGAGAGCTGCAGCTTCTGTCATTGGCAAGGGAATTAATTTCAGCCTGAATATCATCTTGCTGATTAACTGCCCTAGTAGGAAAATTGAAAAGGATTGTACTTAAACTAGATATAATGCTGCTCTGTTATTTCTGGAGTCCTGCTCTCTCACATCCAATGGAAAAAGAGGAGGTGATGTTTCCTCTCTTTAAAATGCCTCCTTCTCAGAAAAATGAAAAGGCAATAATCACATTCACAGGAGTTTTGTTCTTCAACCTTTCTTCAGCTTAGGCAGCAACTTCACAGGTGAGGTATCTGCCTTCAAAGGCAGAACCAACGATGGAATTGGACATCAGTACCAGGGGAGGGGGATTTTCCAGTGTTCAGCTACTGATATGCTATGGGACCCTCTGCCAGTGGGCAGGAAAAAAGGAGAAGCACAATGGGTAAGGAGAAGCTTTATGCCCACGTGGAGGCAGAGAGGTCTTGAGACTAAGAACAGGTTTCAGCCTGTTCTCCCTCCCCCCCACTGGGAATTCTCCTTCCACCCACTCTTATCCATGGTGATGGGAGGTGGGAGGTATTGGGAAGCACACGGCAGTTTGCTGATTAAATATTTTGGGGCCACCACAAAAGTGCTCAGGAAGGTGGATTGGTTTGGGGCAGAAGTTGTGAGGGGGTTTTGATGACTAGGAGTGTCCCTTTTGATGCTTTCCCTAGGAGCTGATGCAGGGTTTCCTTGGCAAGGAGGTGAAAAGACTACAAGTTTTTGTGGGCGATGAAACTCTCTAACAATGGAGTGGTGGGAGGATGGGAACAATTATTCAGGCAAAGAAATACTTGTTCCCTTTGTATTTAGAGGCAGTTTATCCTTCACCTCTTCCCTTCAACAACCACAGTTCCAATTCCTTGCTTATCTCTAACCCTTAGGTAGAAAAAGCAGAAGGTGTATTATTTTGCTTTTATTCAAATAAATTAAATGCCAAACTTGAAAAACACAGAGAGGAATAAGAGAATTAGAAAGGTTGCAGCTCAAAGTGGCAATTTGATCTACAATAGTAAAACTAGTCATTAAAAAGGTTAAAAGATTAAAAGGGTCAAAATTAAAAGTGTTGAAATCACCAGCTGAGCAGTGCAATTGAACCGAGGAACTTATTTTTGTCTGTAAGTAGGAAAACCTGGGATTTAAATTTTTCTTCCATCTTTCAGAATGAGAAACATCAGCAAAAGTTCACAAGATGGCAGAATTTATCTGCCATCAAACTTTTAATCTTAATTAAGGGATTACCTAGATATTATTTCTTAATATTCATACAGATTGGATACAAATGGATTTTCTTGCAGTTAAACACATTTGGGAAGTTGACTTTATCCAACAGCTTTGGACTGCTTTCTCTTTTTACCCCTGGTTCCCACAGGGCAGTTTAATTTCCCTGTCATGCAAGCCATTCAAACATTGTTTGTCAGAGGAGCAGGATGGACAGCAAGGTCTGATGTCACCCATATGTAATAAAGCATTTCCCCACCCTCATGCCCCCAAAGGCTGCCAGTATCCCCCCGTGGACAGAGCCTTGGAAAACAAACTGTTGGTACTCACCCTACTACCACAATTATAAAATCTAGTAAATTCCAGCCATTGCGGAGGTAAGCGTTGGGGTGAAAGAGAAGTCCGTATGCTATTACTTTTAAAAATGCTTCCACTGTAAAAATTATGAGAAAGAGATATTCCACTCGTTCCTGGGGAAGACAAGAGAACAAGAGAGACACTGGTTAGTGTGAGTGACAATTCACAGGTCAGGATACTTGCTTTGGCCCTAGTCCACCCCTCCAGCTCATAATCCAAATTTGATCCTCACACGGGGCACCACTTGTTGTTTGATGAGAATTTTTGACCACTACTACTTGTTGCTGGTGGTTTTTGTCTCCTTCAGGGCTGTGTTCCCTGGGATAGCTCCTCAGAAGGGAGTTTTTCTAATCTCAGTTCTGTTTCAGAAAGGATTCTCCAAAGGCTTGTTAGCTTCTTGTTTCTTGTGTTTATTAATATATTATCGAAAGACTTGGCAGGTCTTCCCCAGACCTTTTTGCTCAAGTTCAACTCACCATAGCTTTGGTTCTCAGCTCAAAAGGCACAAAATGGCCCCAAAATATGCATCTCTTTTATCTTTATACTCATTTTTACCCAATTAACAATAGACACATAAATTATTTTTCTTAGTGACCCAATGACCCAACACCTGTGTGCTGCACTGTGGCATTCTCTATCCAATCACCTACTGCTACCCAAAAACCTCTGGAAGAAGAAGATGATGAAGAAAGAAGAAGGAAAAGAGACAACACTCTAAATCCTCCATCTTGTCTTCTGTTTTCTAAACTAGTTTAACTTTTTCACCCAGTGACTTACGAAAACTCTCTAATTTGCACTCACACTTTCAGCTTTTCTATCTAACTTCAACAGTTGTTTTCATGTAACACCATGAAAACATGCCCATAAATTTCATGTTCTATGAAATTCAGTGTTCTCCTGGATGCCAGAGCCAGGTATCAGAGATGAGGGCACACACTCTGTGTCTCAGACTCCAACAACTGATTGCCACCAGGGTTCTCCTCCTCTCAGATTGCTGCCCACAGGGCTTTGCTCCTCAGCCTTGCATGGCCTGCAGTCACTCCAGAAGTACGAGTGGCAGGAAATTTTAGCTAGAATCTGAAATTCTCTGCCCTTGCCTTGGCAGGGACTGACCCCCCAAACAGGCTTGTGCAAAGCAGGAGGGGAGAGGCACTCCCCAGCCCCCAGGGCAAATATTGTCCAGTGCCAAGGATGAACTGCACCCAGTCCTTTTCTGCCTCTGGAGAGGAAACGCTGCTGCGCGCAATACTGCGGAGAGAGATGGGGAAAATCAAGAGGAGCCCACATGAGACTGATGTGTATGTCAAACTGAGCCTTCTTTGGGATTCCCTTTTCTGTTGCTGGGGAATAAGTAGGCTGAATATTGGTGGTAAGTGATTCACAGATCAGGCTGACTAACGCTGGAGGCTTTTAGTCATTCTGTCAGAATCGCACATATCCCTGCGAAACGCAGGCTGCAATTAAGCATATCCAAACAAAGGCACTTCCAGCTACGGCACAGCCTGATTTAGGACAAGAAAGCAGGATTTTGGAGTCAGTACACAGGCTCACCATCTCTCATCCTCGGGGCTTTTAGCCCCAGTGTGGAATAAGGACAGCAGTATTGCGGGAATGGTAGGGATCTCCACCTAAGTAGGAGGGAAACTGCAGCATTAGGTAATCACTACACAAGTGCTGCGTGGCAAGCTGAGTGGGAGATAAGTACATGAAAACTAGATGACAGCAAAAGGAGACCAAGTCCCTACAAGGTTAAACTGCAAAGTTACTAAAAGTTCACACTGAAGAAATAAAATCCAAGATAAATACAAATTAAAACGTTGTAGGCATTCCTGTCATATCTTAAATGATGTCCAGCACAGCAGTCAGACAGGTCACTATTTTTCTTTTCAGCTCCAAATTGTAACTTCCCTGTTCCTCTGTCCAGCTGAATGCATGTATGACATTTTCATATTTATACAGCAATATAAAATGAGCAGGATTACAAAAAAAATTAATTCCATCATTTGACAGCTGCCCATTCAAACATCCTCCATTCAGCTCCAGGTAATTAACAACTCACTAGAAGCCTGCAGATTAAAAAAAAAAAAAAAAGCAATTGCCAGTTGAACTGCATGTTTACATTAAGGTGATATTTCAGATGGAAAAACTCCATCTGACAGTGGCAGGCACATGTTTGCACTTTAAAATATTGCTGGCTTCCCCTCAGACAATGCTTTCCCAATGCCTGCAGTATCCCCCAGTGCTTAGTACAAGGAATACCTAAAAAAAGAAAAAGTGTCATTCTGCAGTTATCTGATCCAGCAGCGAAGCTTTTGAGCACACCCACAGCAGAGGATTTGTCTGTCGTTGTCCCAGATGGAGACACAGCAGCACACAAGGATTTCCCTTCCCTTGAGCTCAGAAAAGGAAATAACAGCACACAATACTATGTTCCCAGCTCTACAGATAGTAAGTGCTTGCAACCAGGAGTCCAGCCAGGGGCTTGGGCATGGGAAGGAGCTCCCTGATGGCCTGGAAGGGACTGACATCTTCTGCTTCCACTACAGCTGAGAACTGAATGAGTACTGAATCACAAATCACAGCCACGATCCATCTCCATGCACACACTTGGAGAAAAGGACCAGCTATGGCAAAATCTCTCAAACAAAACCCAGAAGAAATGAAAAATGATGCTGTGATGGGAAATCCACGTGGTCTTCCCAGCTGCCCTGCCCCTTTGTGCTGCCACAGGGCTCTATCAGCATGGCAGCAAGCCCACACAGACAGCTCTGTCCCATGGAGCAGTGCCCCATGTCTGAAAGGATGAGGAAAAACCTGTGTAGAGATGGAAGAAAGATGAAAATGGGGGGGAAGGACCTGCCCTGAACTGAGGATGGGAGCAGGGAGTGCTGTGTCTGAGAGGGACATGGCCTGGCTGGTGTCAAATGAACACCTCTGAGGATGGAAACAAGGATTTCTCTTCTGGCAGCTCAACCCAATAATTAGTCTTGCCCACTCCCTGTCTCAAGCAGGGGCTTTGCACAGCTGTGGGCAAGTTCTTTTCCCCTCCCACAAAAAAGGGCCAAACTACTCCTCATCCTGCCTTTGAGGCTGCCCTGCCCTCTCAGTTCATCTCCCTCTATAAACACACACAGGCTCATGACTAAAACCTCTTTTAGCTGGGGTGGTAGAAGGGGATGTGGAGGAGCCCAGCCGCTCATTCCAGCTCCAGGTACCTTTAGAAGCAGGTGGGCAGAGCAGGTGGAGTGGAAAGCCTGAGGCTGATCCCCTGCCCAGCAATTTAACAGCAAACACTGACACTGGCCCCCAGGGACAAACGCTGCTGCCAGCTCTGTCTGGCTTTGTGCTGCACAGCCACAGTTCCTGCCTTTCCACTCCACGAATTTCATTGAAATACCTGCACTAATGCCAGCAAAAGAAGTCCATTTTCCATACCTTGGAAAATTCTGGAACAACCAACTTCTTATTTTTATTTTTAATTACTATTTTAAAAATATTTAGCTCTTCACAGAGCAGACAATATATCAGCAACTAACACGTTCCATTTGGCTGGGTTTGGGAGCCTCACACCTTTTCTGTCTCTAAAGATGCCTGTGGGACTACAGACACTTTTTGTTCTTGTAATAAATGGTGCTTGTTGAACCATGTTAGGGGAGTAACAATATGCCAAAGTATTGCTCACACATGCATGTATATACACCTATACACTGATATATATATATATATATATATATATATATATATATATATATATACAACTACAAGCTGTTTGAATAAATTCCTTACAGTTCTTCAGCTAAGGTGGAAAGATCCATAAAAAATAAAATTCTGTAAAAGCTTCTGAAATTAACATAAGACACAGAATGTTGAGCAGAGAATAGATTTTATGATCCTCTGCACTTAAATTAATGATTTCAGGGTCTAAAACTGAAGGAAATGTACTGCTGAGATTAAACAGTGCAGCTGCTCTAAGACCATTTCAGAAAGCTACCCCTGCTCAGACTCAAGAAGAATTTGAAAAGCCTACTAAATAACTTGTGTCCTCTTTTCTTCCTTTACTATAAAACTAAAGAGCCTTTATGAGCAGAGCATAACTCAGTAATGACATAGCACAACTGAGCTCCCCAGAATGCGGATTGCAGTCCCAGTTCTGATGCCACCTTGCCCAGTGAGGGCAGAAATGTGACTCAGCCACTCCCTGCCTCAGGTTAGAAGTGACAGGACCTTCTCTCACCCTCAGCAGCCACAGGATGATGAATTTGGCACCTGCACTTCTGCTGGCTCGTGTGAAGCTTTGCTCTCACAGGTGAGGTGGCCCAGTGTTCCAATCTCCCAAGGGACACAACACTGCAAAGCATCCATCATCCCAGCTCCTCTGAGAAGCCAATTTGGTACAATTTTAGAAGAAAGCAAGCTAGACAAATATTGGCATTTCTCTCTGAGAGAGTTCCCTGCTGGCAGGGAGGGAGGGAGCTGAGCACTGCCTTTGTGGGACTGAAAGGAGATAGCAACAGCACTGCCCCTTGAAACACTAATCCAAACCACAGCATCAAAAGAGAGGGAGCTTTGGAGCTGCAAGAAAGAAGGAACAGGAATGTTTTATTTGTCTCAGAAATGGGAGCTATGGTCATGTGGCTGAGGGACATGAAGCAGGCTGCAGAATTACAAAGCAGGAGCTTCCTCCTTGGACAATAGGGGCATAAATGTTTAGAAAACCAAAGGAAAAACACCAACAAAATATGACTGGTAGAAGAGGAAGGATAAAAGTGTTAGAAAGTGGAACAGTCTCTGGATCACACATGTTCTGGGGCTGGCTGTGCCTCTGCTTGACTTTGTTTTGGGGTTTTTTTGTAGATACAGGACATGAGCATCAGCTACCCTAGCTGATAGATTAGCCAGCACTAACACTGCCAAGAAGCAACCTGTACATCATCTTACTCATAACAAAGAAACAAATATTAGCTTGCTGTTAAGGCTCTGAGATAGATCACCAAAAGAGGATTCTGTATTATGTATGAAACCCCTCTAATCCCATGTGTCTTCCAAAGAAGTCACAGGTTTGGTTTTGTTTATAATTTTTGAATTGTAACTAATGTCATCTTGGGTTCATAAA